CGGAGAATAACTAGAGAGAAGTCAGAGCAAATAAGTAAGAGAGAGAGAGTGTATATTCGATATGTATTAAGCGTTGTTTACAATGGGGGAAATGGGTGCTATTTATAGTAGTAATAAATGCTAGATAAGGACACGTGTCAGTTTTCTGGTGGTCGAGGGGTCACCTCGACCGGGGTGGCACTGGCACTCGCATGTGGCCGCATTAAATGCGGTGGTTGGATGTGACGTTTGTACTTGGTACGGTGATCCAGGCGCATGTGAAGAAGATATTCTGTCGAGGTGGATGCCTTCGGATGAAGGGTGCTGGGCCGAAGGCTCTTCTAACCGAGGGCTCCTACCTGCCGAGGGCTGCAGGTGCCGAAGGATTGGTTTTCAAGCCTTGTTCTCCTGTGATGTTTCTGAGCTCGATTCCGTCACTGGTAGCCTTCGGCCATGGGGACGAAGGCACCCCTTTGCGTATTGTGGGCTGCTTAGAGCTCCATATTGCTGAGCTTGGCCCGTTTGGGCCTGTTGGGCCTGATTGTAGTAGAGGAAGTATGTGGGTCGGGGATCCCTGGGCCATATACTCCATCAGGAGTCCCCCACTCCTTTTGCCGAAAGGTAGTTCAGGGAAAAGGAGTAGCTGTGGTGATTGCCCCGAAGGCTTCCCTGTTCTGTTGGGTGCCTCATTTTCTCAATTCCCCCATATGTCGAGGGCTGAGAGCTTCCAGAAGGGAGTGTAAGTGTGTTGCTCGTATGTGTTTCTTTGTTGTAGTTTGTAAAGTAATGAGAGATCTGCATTTGTGTGCTTTGCCGAGGGCATTTGTTGACTGAAGGCTTTGTGTGGCTGAAGGCATCATGTGGCCGAAGGCATTGTGTGGCCGGAGGCATCATGTGGCCGAAGGCATTGTGTGGCCGGAGGCATTCTGTAAGCCGAAGGCATCATGTCGAGGGGAGTAGATTGTCGTTGTGATCTTGCCTCAGCTTGCTGTACCTGAGAAATAGAATTTTTTTAACATTTACGTGTTTTGCCGAGGGAAGTCCCTCAATCCCCCACTCCTTTTGCCGAGAGTTTCTCAAGGGAAACAGGAGTAGAGTGATGCATGCCTTCAGCAGGAGCCACCGAGGGGTGACGCCTTTTGTTCCACAATGGGGAGATGCCTCGTTAAAAATCTCATTAGGAAAAAACTATGTGGGAAACAATCCTAATGAGGGAAAAAGAGTACACCGGATGCCCTCAGAATGAAGCAAAAAGAGTGCACCCTTCGGCCTTGATTGTTGAGCGGCGGTTGTGTCCGTCTGCTGAGGGGATATCCAAGATCAGCCTTATATCCTGCATGAAAAAGCTAAGGAGCTTGTAAGGACCCCCCGTTACCAAATAAAGGTGATGGAGGGGTGCAAGGCCATGTGGTCCTGTGTGAGAACCCCTGGCATCAAATAAAGATGCCGGAGGGATGAAGGCCGAGGGGCCTGTATGATAGCCCCCCACATCAAATAAAGATGTCGGAGGGATGAAGGCCGATGGCCTGTGTGATGGCCCCCGACATCAAATAATGATGCCGGAGGGATGAAGGCCGATGGGCCTGTATGATAGCCCCTGGAATCAAATAAAGATGCCAGAGGGATGAAGGCCGAGGGGTCTGTGTGATGGCCCCCGATATCAAATAGAGATGTCGGAGGGATGAAGGCCGATGGCCTGTATGATAGCCCCTGGCATCAAATAAAGATGCCGGAGGGATGAAGGCCGATGGCCTGTGTGATGGCCCCCAACATCAAATAAAGATGCCGGAGGGATGAAGGCCGATGGGCCTGTAAGATAGCCCCTGGAATCAAATAAAGATGCCAGAGGGATGAAGGCCGAGGGGCCTATGTGATATCCCCCGATATCAAATAAAGATGTCGGAGGGATGAAGGCCGATGGCCTGTATGATAGCCCCTGGCATCAAATAAAGATGCAAGAGGGATGAAGGCCGAGGGGCCTGTGTGATGGCCCCCGACATCAAATAAAGATGCCGGAGGGATGAAGGTCGATGGGCCTGTGTGATGGCCCCCGACATCAAATAAAGATGTCGGAGGGATGAAAGCCGATGGGTCTGTATGATGTTGAGGCCGAGGGCCGTTCTGATGTTGAGTCATGTTGAGGCTGAGGGCCGTCTGATGTTGAGGCCGAGGGCCATTGTGATGTGGAATCACGCTGATGTCGAGGGTCGTTGTTGATGTAGAATCACGTTGAGGCTGAGGGCCTTTGGTGATGTGAAATCATGTAAGGAAAAAACCGTTATGACATAGAGTCATGCTGAGGCCGAGGGCCATTTGATGTCGAGGCCGAGGGCCACTGTGATGTGGAATCACGCTGAGGTCGAGGGCCGTTCTGATGTTGAGGCCGAGGGCCGTTCTGATGTTGAGGACGAGGGCCGTTCTGATGTTGAGGCCGAGGGCCGTTCTGATGTTGAGGCCGAGGGCCGTTGTGATGTGGAATCATGCTGAGGCCGAGTGCCATTCTGATGTTGAGGCCGAGGGCCGTTCTGATGTTGAGGCCGAGGGCCGTTCTGACGTTGAGTCATGTTGAGGCCGAGGGCCTTTGGTGATGTAGAATCAAATTGAGGCCGAGGGCCTTTCCTAGATAGTTCTGGGAGTCCTCAGGGTGTATGTTCCTTCTTTCAGGCTTCGACCGAGGGGGTTGATTCCCCGCCTCGGCCGGAAGGGGGTCCAAGTGATCCGTCTGGGGGTTCGTCTGTTAGTCCCCCGACGTTGGGTCGTCCCTTGATTGTGCCAGGAGGTCGTATGTTAGTCCTCCTGATGTGTGTTCCTTCTTTCAGGCTTCGGCCGAGGGGGTTACTTCCCCACCTGGGCCGGAAGGGGGTCCAAGTGATCCGTTCGGGGGTTCGTCTGTTAGTCCCCCGGCGCTGAACCGTCCCTTGACCTTGGGGGTCCCGTTGTCTATTTACGGCGCGGGCTAGGCTTGGTCGGTTTCCGACGACTGCCGTTTCACCCCCAAGTTTGGGGATTTCGTCACCTCAGCCATTCTTTCAGGCCTGTCGCCGTGCGTTGCGCGCCGGCAACGCGGCGAGCATCCCGCTCCAAAAACGCGGGCCTTTTGCAGGCCCCTCGTCTTTAGACACCATCGGCCATACCTAGGCATTTGAACTCGAAGGGGCCGATAAGATGTCTGGATTGTGTTGTAGTTTACTTAAATTCATAGAAATAAGCGAAATACAAGGGGTGCGTTGTTCGGCAACGGCTTTGTTAAGATTCACCGCTCAATCCGAGGGCTCTAGGCCGAGGGGATGACAATGTGCCTCTAGGTCGAGGGCCCAAGGCTGAGACTAACGTCGAAGGCGAGGGACATGATTAGCGGAGGTGGCACTTCTTTGGCTGGGGCTCCTCGAACTCCTCCTCGTCGCTGAGCCTCCCGATTTCATGTTTCTTCATTGCGATGTCCCCTTCTTCTTTATCGGTGTTCTCCCCGGTGTTTTTCCTTGGGGCATTTTTGATGAATTGGTGGAGCTCACCCCTTTGAATTAAGAGTTCAATAGCCTTCTTTAACGAGACACAATCGTCTGTATTGTGGGAGGTGCTTTTGTGGTAACGGCAATAAGTGTCGCCTTGGTGGATGGCGTAGATCTCCCTCGCCGACCGAGGGTCCTTGGGGAAAAGGTCCTTCTCTTCCGCATAGTTGAGGATAGTGCTCACCGGGTGCGTGAGGGGAGTCCTCGGCATGTCCAGCCGAGGGCGCCATTGGCGTTCGTTACGACCCTGCTGGGTGTGGCTTCCATGGTCTCGGCCTCCGGCCGAGGGCGCATTTGGGGCCGGCGTGTTGTTTGTCTTCTTCGAGAAATGGCCCTCGTTCTTCTTGAAGGAGTGGAGGTCGTCGGCGTCGGCGTATAGGCTCCCCAGCTGGAGTGCTCTGAGGTATGATCTTGGGGGGTCGGTGATGAGGCTCCGTGCGTAGGGGCTACTGCGGAGAACCCCCTAGAAGAGAACGAGGAGGGTACGCTCGTCGGCGCCCTCGACCTCGTCTGTCTCCTTCATCCACCGGTCAATGAAGGACCGAAGTGTTTCGTCAGGCTGTTGCTTGACGGAGAGGAGGTGGGAGAAGTGCTTTCACGCGCGCTTCCTTCTGGCAAAATGGATGAGGAAGCGTTGGGCAAGATCTTGCCAAGAGTCAATGCTGCCCTCGGGCAATCGGTTGAACCATTCGTATGCTGGTCCCTCCAAGGTGGAAAGGAACCAACGACATAAGTATTCATCTGATGCCCCCATCATCATCATCATGTTGTTTTGATACCTGTTGTAGTGCTCCTGGGGGTCAGTTTTTCCTTCATAGGGCTTGATGAGTTGCCCTCGGTACTTTTCCGGGATTTGGGCCGCCAATACCCTTGGGGTAAATGGCGTTCTAGTTCGGAGTTGGATGGCGGGTTCCCCAGAGCCTTCGGCAAATTTCCTTTGCATCTCCTCCATGTTGGCCAGCATGGCCTCATATTTAGAATCTTCATTAGGGGCGGCAACGGCGGTATGTGCTTGACGGGCCTCCATTTCATCAAGCCGGTGCTGGAGGGCCGCAATAATTTCGTCTCTGGTGTCCTTCGGGAGGGCCTCCGCCCCCTGCGAATGGCCATGGGCCGAGCGGGTCTGGTTGATTTGATGTCGGGTGCCGTCGGCATGGAGGGGTGCTTTTCCTTTATCTCGAGGGGGAAGCTTCTCATCTGCCCTGGAGACGGATCCGCCACTTTCTTGAGGTCTTTTGAACACCTTTCCGCTGAGGCGGTCTTGGACCCCTTGGCGGTCTAGCGCCCCTCCGAGTCTCTCGAGGGCGGAGGTCCGGGGACTTTCTTTGTTTGCGCCATGGCGGTCTCGGGATTGGACTTCCTGAGAGGCGGTATCCTGGGCCACAACCCTCTCGTTGTTCCCTAACCAAAGGATAGGGTTCACGAAGGGGAGCGGAGGAGGGGGAGAATGGTGTTCTCCTCGACCTGCGGCTGAAGGGGGTACCAGCGTGCCGAAGGCACCTGGGTTTTGAGTGAGAGTCTGGATGAAGGCGGAGAATGCTGATTGTACGTCAATGGTGAGAACCGGAGGGCTCATTTGGTTTTCGCTCCGGTCCTTCTTTTTGGCCTCGATGCCAAGGCGGGCATCGGGGGCATTATGTTGGAGCTGAAGGCACAGGTCGACAGTCGTCTGTTCCAACCCAGCGTATTGTGGGCTGCTTAGAGCTCCATTTTGCTGGGTTTGGCTCGTTTGGGCCTATTGGGCCTGATTGTAGTAGAGGAAGTATGTGGACCGGGGGTCCCTGGGACATATACTCCATCACCTGCCCAATCAGAATCACTATAACCAATGAGTTTAAGAGTAGAATCTACAGAGTAGAAGAGACCCTTACATGGGGCACTCTTTAGGTATCTGGGAATTCTATGAGCAGCATTTAAATTAATATCAGTAGGATTAGTAAGAAATTGACTTAAGATTTGAAGACTATAGGCAATATCAGGTTTAGTGACTGTCAAATATAAAAGTTTGCCAAAAAGAGTTCTATAAACTTTAGGATCAGATAAAACAGTTCACTTTCTTTTGAACGTTTACGTTTGGAATCCATGGGTATATTGTAAGGTTTAGAATTTATATAGCCATTTTCATTAAGAATATCTAAAGTATATTTTCTTTGAGAAAGACAAATACCTGTTTCAGATCTAGCAATCTCAATTCCAAGAATATATTTAAGATCTCCAAGATCATTAATAGTAAACTTATTATGTAAGACTGTTTTGACATGATTAATTTCAGTTTTATCATTACCCGCTAAGATTATATCATCAACATATAAGAGTAATATTGTTATAGAATTGCATTAGTTTTAGTAAAGAGAGAAAATTCAGTCTGAGATTGAATATAACGAATACCTTGAAGACGTTCTGATAGTTTCTAATACTGATCGGCTTAAACTTGCAAGTGTACAAGTGCCAATGTAGTAATAAAATCCAGTAGAAATACCGGGTCGAACATGACGAATGTGTGTCCTCCACTTTGCTCTCTCCAAAATCATAATCTCATCCAAGCCAAATAGATGCATATCAGTTCTGATTCATCTAATTCAAGTCTGTTTGGGTCTTCCCCTCCCTCTCCTCTCAGTCTCTTCTCCCCATCCCTCAAGTCGCCTAACAGGTGCATTGTCACGCCCCGGACCGCATCCGAGCCACGTAGACAACCGCCGTACAACCCAATAAGAACAACAACAGTTCATCCCTATTGAGTTGTACAAGGCGTCCGATTGATTCTATTGCCAAACCGATTAGTAAACACATACAATCAACATCAATATCAAAATCAAACAAATGCGGAAATAATAAAATGTTTGATACTTAGCCACACGTGGCAAACACGGGCACGCAGGCCCCAACCGTTTTAATGAAAACATTGTTCAAAAATCCATGAGCGGTTTATACATTTGAAATAAGAATGGAAGCACGAACCACGTCTTCCTTCTCGATCAATCACCCTAGGCAAAGGTGCAGGTAGTAGGACTCTAGCCTCAACCTGAAAAATGTGAGGGCCCCCGGAGGGGTCAGTACTCCATAGAAGTACTATTGACAAGCAGGCTATATGAAGAATAACTAATGTTTCAGACACGAGACCCAAAAATAGGGTGATACATATATATATGTGACTCATTCATCCGATGATACATACTGTGTATATATATGTAAAATACTCGACCCGTAGGTCATTTCATTCAAAGAGTCTTTTAGAGATAAAGTTCTTACCTGACCTTTCTCACCCTTTTCCCGAATGCCTAGCTCACCAGCTACATTCTACATTCATAATGTCCTACCCAGTTTTGGGAGCACTTAGCATCCCGGGGATACTCAACCCCAACCGAGTTTCAGGATCATTAAATGTTCTGGGGATGCTCAACCCCAACCGAGTTTCAGGATCATTTGCAGTCCCGGGGATGCTCAACCCCAACCGAGTTTCAGGATCATGTATGGTCCCGGGGATGCTCAACCCCAACCGAGTTTCAGAATCATTTAATATCCCGGGGATGCTCAACCCCAACCGAGTTTCAGGATCATTTATAGTCCCGGGGATGCTCAACCCCAACCGAGTTTCAGGATCATCTAATGTCCCGGGGATACTCAACCCCAAACTAAATCATCACCAAACCCTAACCTGGATATGGCTAACCTTTCGTTCCTTCAACTATGGACAATACCTAGACCTATAGTCATATAACCATCCTTAGGAACCAATGTGGGCGGGTCCCACCTGAACGGCCCACATTAACCCGCTCAAAACTGCCCGTTTTGAGCATAAACCAATACTCGATCGAGTATCTCCCCATACTCGGTCGAGTACAGGAGGCGGTAGCCCCCAAAGCTAATTTTCCATGTATACTTGATCGAGTATATACCTATACTCGATCGGGTATAGGAGACAGTAGCCCCCTGGGCAATTTTCCAGCAAATACCCGGTCGGGTATGTGTCAATACCCGGTCGGGTATGGCAGTTGACTAGGCGGTCAACGCCCCTTTTGACCCCCCAAACGGAGTCCGATTAACTTGATATTTTATACACATATACTTCTTGATGTTCTTGATCCAAAAATACCATTTTGGATCCCTGGATCATCACACAAAATATGTTACCACATTTTTAATCACCAAACGTACATAACATGCTTTTCAACTATGTTTTATGCAAAATCATGGCATAAGCAAATACTTGATTATCTTTAATCATTCCACAAAACATATCCTTGATTACTTTAGGTAATCTCATGCCTCACGCAAAAGTTATAAAGCATAAAGCCGTCTTCTCACCTTAATGAAGCTTATGAAGTTCTAGCCTTCCCGATTTTGCTCCCGTGAAACTCCGGCGAACTTCAACGAACTCCGGTGACTCTTTCAACTCCGTGAAAGTTCCTTGAATACCTTAGACAAGTTACTAACAAGGTTTTATCATCATAAAACCCATAGTAGTAAAAATAACCCCCAAAAGGTTATTTTCCGGCGAACCGGTCCCTTTGGCTTCTAAGTCCATTCTTGGGCTTAGAACCACCTTCCAACCCCTCGTTCTACACATCCCAACGTGTAGAACAATACTAGGGTGTGAAATATGATTGAATAATCATATAAGATGATTAAAGAAAACGAAATGGGGTTAATGGAGTCCTTACCTTGCTAAACACCAGTTTTCCTCTCCAAAACCAACTTTTCCTCTTCTCTTTTCCCCTCCTTCTTCCTCCTTTGTTCTTGGTGCGTGAAAGGATGAGGAAATGGAGTATTTCAGACCTTCTCTCACTTCTTTTAGTAGGTTAACCGAGCTGTAGGAGTTGGTATGATTGAGGATGCCTTTTTGGCATTTCTCATAAAAATATCTTGGCCAAGGACCCACTCTCATGTTGATTGGTCTCCCAATCAATTCTTGATTGCTCCCCCCTGATCTTGTGCGGCTCCTCTGACCATTCCCAGAACTAAAAACGTGGTTTGGCCCCCACTTATGTGGGAGGTCAACCCTTTGTGTCCCGGAGTGTACAATCGGTCCCGAAAGTTGTATTTTCCGGACCGTTTTAAGTATATTTTATTTTATCGGGTCAAATAAAATATAACATTTGTTCCCAATCCTTATTGGGCCTTAGAATCAATATGATTCCCCAACTTTAATTTAGAAATCTCCGGACTCCCTTTTTGGGCTGTTATCAGATAAATTGCCGATACCGATAATTTGGCCCTGTTTGACCAACCGGTCAACTCTATGCCATTGCCATGGCCCAATTAGGATATCCATCACCATATCCATATTATCTAGTCCAAGATTAATATAATATGTGGTCCTGATAATATCGGGCGGCCCCACATCCGGTGTGGGCCCCACGTGAATTTTACTATTCACGTAATAGAAATGATAAAAATTTACAATCACGTAAAAATGCTTTTATACATTTCTCGAGGTTCAATACATAATTTGGTACAGTACAAATACTCGGGGGCGGTGTTACAAGTTCTACCCCCCTTATTTGGGATTTCGTCCCCGAAATCCACGCGTCTAGTCAAACAGAAATGGATATTGTTCCCTCATTAGGGTCTCCACTTCCCAAGTTTGCTCCTCGACACGATCACTCTTCCAAAGTACTTTTACCATCGGCACCTCTTTGTTCCTCAGCTTCTTTACCTGTCGGTCCATGATTTTCACTGGCTGCACCGTATAGTGCAGGTCTTCTCGGATTTCCACCGGTGGTTTCTCAAGAATATGTGACGGGTCCCGCACATACTTCTTGAGCATAGAAACATGAAATACATTATGAATCTTTTCTAACTCCGGAGTCAACTGAAGTCAGTAAGCTACAACCCCAATCCTTTCAAGGATTTTGAACGGACCTATGTAACGTGGGTTAAGCTTACCCCGACTGAGGAACCTGATGATCCCTTTCCAAGGTGATACCCTCAGAAATACCTCATCACCGACCTCAAACTCCAACGTCCTCCGACGTTTATCAGCATAGCTCTTCTGCCGGTCTTGGGCAGCCTTGAGCCTATCTTGTATAACTTTGATCTTCTCTTTAGTGATCTCGACTAGCTCGGTGCCCTCGAGCTTAGCCTCGCCGACCTCGTCCCAACACAAAAGTGTCCGGCATTTCCTCCCATACAATGCTTCGTATGGAGGCATGCCTATACTCGCCTGATAACTGTTGTTATAAGCGAATTCCACTAAAGCCAACTGATTGTCCCAGCTCCCCTGGAACTCCAAGGCACATGCCCTTAACATGTCCTCCAAGATCTGAATCACCCGTTCAGATTGCCCATCCGTTTGAGGATGAAACGCGGTGCTAAACCTCAATTTCGTACCCATGGATTCCTGGAACTTAGGCCAAAACCGTGATGTGAACCGTGGGTCTCTATCCGATACTATAGTAACCGGAACCCCATGCAGTCTCACAATCTCATCCGTGTACAATTTGGCCAACCGCTCGAGCGTATAGGTAGTGTTGATGGGTAGGAAATGAGCGCTCTTGGTCAGCCTATCGACTACCACCCATACTGCGTCGTAGTTCCTAACCGTCTGTGGTAGACCCACCACGAAGTCCATGGTAACATGCTCCCACTTCCATTCTGGAATGGTAAGTGGTTGTAATAACCCTGCTGGGTGTTGGTGCTCTGCCTTAATCTGTTGACAAGTAAGGCAACGGCTCACGTATTCTGCAATTTCTCTCTTCATTCCCGACCACCAGTAACTTTCTTTCAAGTCCCGGTACATCTTTGTATCGCCCGGGTGCATGGCATACGCAGATGAGTGAGCCTCCTCAAGGATAGATTTTCGGAGCTCCTCATCCGATGGCACACACACTCGTTCCTTGAATAGTAGAAGTCCATCTTCTCTCTCACGGAAACCCTCGACGGGCCCCACAAGCATCCGTTCCCGTATTTTCTGAAATTCCTCGTCATTGCCTTGACATGTTCTGATTTCATCTAATAAGGTGGGTCTCACCTCAAATCTGGCCAATAGCGCCCCATCCGTGGATATCTCCACGCGTGCCCTCAATGCCCGTAAGCATGTGAGTAAAACCCCTGATGATGAGCTCTTCCTGCTCAGTGCATCGGCTACAACATTAGCCTTGCCTGGATGATAGTCAATGATCAAGTTGTAATCCTTAATCAACTCCATCCATCTCCTCTGTCTCATGTTCAACTCTTTCTGAGTGAACACATACTTCAAGCTCTTGTGGTCGGTGTAAATGTGGCACAACTCCCCGTAGAGGTAGTGCCTCCAAATCTTCAATGCAAATACCACCGCACCTAGCTCCAGATCATGTGTGGGGTAGTTTACTTCATGCTTCCTCAAATGCCGATAAACATAAGCAATTACCTTCCCTGATTGCATCAGTACACATCCCAGTCCCTGAATGCTAGCATCGCTGTAGATGTCATACCCTAACCCTTGCACGGGCAAGGCAAGCACTGGTGCTTCGGTCAAACGTTTCTTTAGCTCAAGAAACCCCTTCTCACACTTGTCATCCCACACAAACTTAGCCCCCTTTTTAGTGAGCTTCGTGAGTGGAGATGCTATCACTGAGAACTTTTCCACGAATTTGCGGTAATACCCCGCTAAACCGAGGAAACTCCTTATCTCCTTCACGTTCTTGGGCCTCTCCCAATTAGTGACCGCCTCAATCTTTGAGTTATCAACTGAAATGCCCGAGCCCGATACCACATGCCCGAGAAAACCGATCTCCCCAAGCCAAAATTCACATTTAGAGAATTTGGCAAAGAGTTGTTTCTCCCGCAGTGTTTCAAGCACAAGCCTTAGATGTTTTTCGTGTTCCTCTTCATTCATGGAGTATATCAAAATCTCATCAATGAACACTATGACGAACTGGTCTAAGTATTGGTGAAATACTCGGTTCATGAGGTCCATGAATGCCGCGGGGGCGTTCGTAAGCCCAAACGACATTACTAGAAACTCATAGTGACCATACCTTGTACGGAATGCACTTTTGGGTATGTCACTCTCCTTGATCTTCAGTTGATGGTAGCCTGACCTCAAGTCAATCTTAGAGAACACCGTTGCCCCCCGTAGTTGATCAAACAAGTCATCGATCCTTGGCAAAGGATATTTGTTCTTTATCGTGACCTTGTTCAACTGACGGTAGTCGATACACATTCTGAGTGTACCATCCTTCTTCTTTACAAATATTACCGGTGCTCCCCATGGTGAATGACTCGGCCTGATGAATCCGCTGTCCAGCAATTCTTCCAATTGCACCTTCAACTCTTGAAGTTCAGCCGGTGCCATCCGATATGGAGGAATTGAGATGGGTTTTGTACCGGGTTCTACTTCAATGGTGAACTCAATTTCTCGATCTGGTGGGAGTCCCGGGAGTTCTTCAGGGAAAACTTCTGGGTACTCACTCACCACTCTCACCTCAGTGAGACTCTTTTCCTTGCCCTCCTTGCCTATGACATAGGCCAAGTATGCTTGACACCCTTTCCTCATCATACGCCTTGCTCTTATGGCCGATATGATACAAGGGTTGAATTTCCCTCTATCTCCCTAGAAGCATAGAGTGTTTCCTTCTCCATCCTTTAGTTCTAACACCTTGGTGTAGCAATCTACCTTCGCATGGTGTTTTTCGAGCCAATCCATGCCAAGTATAGAATCAACTCGAGCATATCTAACGGCACAAAGTCACCCGTTAGACAGTGCCCCCCTATCCCTACATTACACGAGGGATAGTAGTGTTTCCGCTCTAGATCATCTCCCAATGGCGTAGAGACCAGCAAAGGTTGCATCATTGCTACCAAAGGCATGTTCAATCCCTTGGCAAACGCTTCGCTCACAAATGAACGTTGTGCCCCGGTATCGATGAGAATTCTCGCATCCCTATCGTTGATCTTTAGTGTTCCTACATATATAAGTCATGTAAGGCACCCTATTCGACATCCCGACAGAAAAGGACCGGACAGAAAAATTTCAGCCTAGAATTACCCTATACCCGGTCGGGTAGGGTCCTCTACCCGGTCGGGTATCACTCGAGTCCTTAAGGAGAAACCCCCCTGTTTTCCTTGCTCGGTCTAGTACCAGCCTCGAATTCGGGCAAAATGTCAATACCTGGTCGGGTATATGCCTATACCCGGTCGGGTATCACTCGAAATCCTCAAATAAAAGCTCCCTGTCTTCTACGCTCGATCGAGTACACACTTCGAAGCTCAAAATCTACACATACCCGATCGAGTATATAGCCATACCCGATCGGGTATTGCTCGAAATGTCAAAAATAAAGCATTCTGCCTTGGCTGCCCGAACGGGTGCATACTTCAAACTCGAAGCGTGGCTTATACCCGGTCGGGTCTATAGGGGCACCCGATCGGGTCCTTCATATTTTTGAAGATTTTTCAACCAATTACATAATCAAATACGTGTGAAATCAAGAGATTACCTGCAATGGAGTCCGGGTTGGCCCGAGCATCAGCCTCGGTCATTGCATACACCCGTGTTTGGGTCCTCCCTTGATTAACGGACGCGGCGTTGCTAGCCGTGGGTCCGCTCCTTCCCGTGCCGGCCTGAGACGGCCCCGCACGTCCCCTACTAGTCGTAGGTCTTCCCATGGCTCCCGATGGTCCTCCCCCGTTCAGCATTGGACAAGAGGATTTGAGGTGGCTCGTGCTACCGCATTTGAAGCACCGGGGTGGTTCATTGCACCTTCCCCCATGGTTCTTACCGCAGTTTGCGCACCTGGGTGGTCCCACACCCCCCGGTTTGGGCCCTTGCCCTCCTGAACCCTTGTTCCTTTTTGTCGGTGGTGCCGGCGCCCTGAATGAATTGCCACCCCCAGCGTGATGCTTTCGGGAGTGGTCTTGGGGTCCCGAGTTTCCCCATCTTCTCTTCTTCGCCTCCTCGGCGTCCCTCAACTTCCTCTCGTCCCATTGGGCTTCCCCAAGGAGCCCCTGATCGACAATCTGGCTAAATGTCATGTTGTGATGGTAAGTAGCCCGGTCACGGATATCCAACTGTAGAGCATCCCAAAAATGATTGGCCATACGATTTTCATCCAAAGAGTATTCTGGGATGAATCGAGCCAAGTCACGGAACCTTTGTTCCAATTGCCTCACCGAGCAACCATCCTCCTGTTTCAGGTTTGTGTACTCTCTTCTTTTGAGATTGACTTCAAAAGTTGAGTAGTACTGATTATAGAACTCCACTTCGAACTTCTCCCAAGTGGCCTCACCGTGGAACTTTCCTTCCACGCCATCCCACCATAGAGCAGCTACCCCTTCTAGTAGCCTGGTGGCAACCCTCAACTTCACGTCGAGTCCAATTTGCATATCCCTAGAAGCATCATTCAGCTTCTTAATCCAGTCAGCGGCCTCGGATATGTCGCCCTTGCCATCAAATGATTTGCACCCCAAGGCCCTGGCCTCCTTGAGATATTTGGAGATACGCACCATCGTGTCTCCCTCAAATGCTCCAGATGGAGCACTAGAAGCACCTCGGCTTACCTGCCCCATGGTTTGCCTAGCCTGCCTAGCTTGGCGCCGCTGCTCTCTCTTTGCTTTATTCTCGAGGTACCACTCTAGTACCTCACTCATACGGTCATAATGAGGATCATCATCCTCATCTTCTTCCTCAAAGTCCTCCCCGTTGTACGGGGTCTCCTCTTTCTCCGTGCTTGGAGCATAGGTGAAGTCGTCTGGTTCGGTGGCCCATGACGGGTGCACGGAACCGACGCGTGTGCTACTTGTCGTCGGCGTGGTAGAACGCCCACGACCCCTGCCTCGGCCTCCTCCTAGGCTTTGGTCCCGGCCTCTACCCCTAGAGGTCCGTGATTCCGCCCAAGTGGCATGCCCGGTGGCCCCCGGCACATGCCCTGTCGGGTTCCTCCTAGTTATCCTGCGTCCACCCTCCATTTCTGAAAGAAGTAAGGAATGAGTCATTAGACTCGTTTCAATGTCAATTGACGGAGTAGTACGAAAGACACCACTTGGTCCAACATTATGGCCAACAAACTGTTAAGGGTACCGTCTTAACAATAAGAGGTCAATAACTTGGTTTCCAACGGTTCCTTAAGTACAAAAACTGTTGCTCATGGTTTTATTCAAAACTTTTTGAGGATAACCATATTGAGAGGTTAATTATATAGTTTAGAAATCGATGGCTCTGATACCACGTAATTGTCACGCCCCGGACCGCATCCGAGCCACGTAGACAACCGCCGTACAACCCGATAAGAACAACAACAGTTCATCCCTATTGAGTTGTACAAGGCGTCCGATTGATTCTATTGCCAAACCGATTAGTAAACACATACAATCAACATCAATATCAAAATCAAACAAATGCAGAAATAATAAAATGTTTGATACTTAGCCACACGTGGCAAACACGGGCACGCAGGCCCCAACTGTTTTAATGAAAACGTTGTTCAAAAATCCATGAGCGGTTTATACATTTGAAATAAGAATGGAAGCACGAACCACGTCTTCCTTCTCGATCAATCACCCTAGGCAAAGGTGCAGGTAGTAGGACTCTAGCCTCAACCTGAAAAATGTGAGGGCCCCCGGAGGGGTCAGTACTCCATAGAAGTACTATTGACAAGCAGGCTATATGAAGAATAACTAATGTTTCAGACACGAGACCCAAAAATAGGGTGATACATATATATATGTGACTCATTCATCCGATGATACATACTGTGTATATATATGTAAAATACTCGACCCGTAGGTCATTTCATTCAAAGAGTCTTTTAGAGATAAAGTTCTTACCTGACCTTTCTCACCCTTTTCCCGAATGCCTAGCTCACCAGCTACATTCTACATTCATAATATCCTACCCAGTTTTGGGAGCACTTAGCATCCCGGGGATACTCAACCCCAACCGAGTTTCAGGATCATTAAATGTTCTGGGGATGCTCAACCCCAACCGAGTTTCAGGATCATTTGCAGTCCCGGGGATGCTCAACCCCAACCGAGTTTCAGGATCATGTATGGTCCCGGGGATGCTCAACCCCAACCGAGTTTCAGAATCATTTAATATCCCGGGGATGCTCAACCCCAACCGAGTTTCAGGATCATTTATAGTCCCGGGGATGCTCAACCCCAACCGAGTTTCAGGATCATCTAATGTCCCGGGGATACTCAACCCCAAACTAAATCCTCACCAAACCCTAACCTGGATATGGCTAACCTTTCGTTCCTTCAACTATGGACAATACCTAGACCTATAGTCATATAACCATCCTTAGGAACCAATGTGGGCGGGTCCCACCTGAACGGCCCACATTAACCCGCTCAAAACTGCCCGTTTTGAGCATAAACCAATACTCGATCGAGTATCTCCCCATACTCGGTCGAGTACAGGAGGCGGTAGCCCCCAAAGCTAATTTTCCATGTATACTCGATCGGGTATAGGAGACAGTATCCCCCTGGGCAATTTTCCAGCAAATACCCAGTCGGGTATGTGTCAATACCCGGTCGGGTATGACAGTTGACTTAGCGGTCAACGCCCCTTTTGACCCCCCAAACGGAGTCCGATTAACTTGATATTTTATACACATATACTTCTTGATGTCCTTGATCCAAAAATACCAGTTTGGATCCCTGGATCATCACACAAAATATGTTACCACATTTTTAATCACCAAACGTACATAACATGCTTTTCAACTATGTTTTATGCAAAATCATGGCATAAGCAAATACTTGATTATCTTTAATCATTCCACAAAACATATCCTTGATTACTTTAGGTAATCTCATGCATCACGCAAAAGTTATAAAGCATAAAGCCGTCTTCTCACCTTAATGAAGCTTATGAAGTTCTAGCCTTCCCGATTTTGCTCCCGTGAAACTCCGGCGAACTTCAACGAACTCCGGTGACTCTTTCAACTCCGTGAAAGTTCCTTGAATACCTTAGACAAGTTACTAACAAGGTTGTATCATCATAAAACCCATAGTAGTAAAAATAACCCCCAAAAGGTTATTTTCCGGCGAACCGGTCCCTTTGGCTTCTAAGTCCATCCTTGGGCTTAGAACCACCTTCCAACCCCTCGTTCTACACATCCCAACGTGTAGAACAATACTAGGGTGTGAAATATGATTGAATAATCATATAAGATGATTAAAGAAAACGAAATGGGGTTAATGGAGTCCTTACCTTGCTAAACACCAGTTTTCCTCTCCAAAACCAACTTTTCCTCTTCTCTTTTCCCCTCCTTCTTCCTCCTTTGTTCTTGGTGCGTGAAAGGATGAGGAAATGGAGTATTTCAGACCTTCTCTCACTTCTTTTAGTAGGTTAACCGAGCTGTAGGAGTTGGTATGATTGAGGATGCCTTTTTGGCATTTCTCATAAAAATATCTTGGCCAAGGACCCACTCTCATGTTGATTGGTCTCCCAATCAATTCTTGATTGCTCCCCCCTGATCTTGTGCGGCTCCTCTGACCATTCCCAGAACTAAAAACGTGGGTTGGCCCCCACTTATGTGGGAGGTCAACCCTTTGTGTCCCGGAGTGTACAATCGGTCCCGAAAGTTGTATTTTCCGGACCGTTTTAAGTATATTTTATTTTATCGGGTCAAATAAAATATAACATTTGTTCCCAATCCTTATTGGGCCTTAGAATCAATATGATTCCCCAACTTTAATTTAGAAATCTCCGGACTCCCTTTTTGGGCTGTTATCAGATAAATTGCCGATACCGATAATTTGGCCCCGTTTGACCAACCGGTCAACTCTATGCCATTGCCATGGCCCAATTAGGATATCCATCACCATATCCATATTATCTAGTCCAAGATTAATATAATATGTGGTCCTGATAATATCGGGCGGCCCCACATCCGGTGTGGGCCCCACGTGAATTTTACTATTCACGTAATAGAAATGATAAAAATTTACAATCACGTAAAAATGCTTTTATACATTTCTCGAGATTCAATACATAATTTGGTACAGTACAAATACTCGGGGGCGGTGTTACATGCATTACTCGGTCTTCTACGCACATACCCAAACCATCGCAAACGAGACTCATGCATCTTATCTTCTAGGTGCTACTCCCACCTTTTGTCTTATTATCTCATTCCTTATGCAGTCTTTTCTGGTATGTCCACACATACAATGCAAGTCTAATTGTTGTTCGATAAAATTTATCTTTTAGTCTAGCCGGCATACCTCGATCTCATAAAAATCATGATGCACTTCCATTTCATCAACCCAGCTTTGATTCTATGTGATACATCTCCATCTAATTCACCATTCTTTGGAATTATGGAGCCCAAGTAACGAAACATATCACACACCCCAATCTCCTTAACATCAAGAGTAATCCCAGTGTTGCTACGAAATGTTCCAAAAAGTCAATTTCCAAATAGAAATGTTCTTGAATTGTGAGTAAATGAGTTGTGGAATTCCAATATAGAACTGGTATATTTTTCTTCCAAAATATGAGTACATGGAAGTATTTAATGTCATCATAGAGTTCTTATTGCTAAAAGAGTTGCAGTATTTATTTTTGAATTCCAAAATATTGCAGTAACATGACAATATTTGAGATCATTAATGACAGTATTTTTCAATCATGACACCGATGAATCCTATTTCGAAAAGTCAAACATAGTAGTGTATAATTTTACAGCCATTTGACGGTATTTAGAAATACTTTGTATTTTGGCAACTCTACTATTATAAATATATCTGTTAGGATCAGTATTGGAGTATCCTTTCCCATTATTTCACATGGTATCAAGAGCTAGAATATAATTCTCTCTATTAAAACTCTATTTATTTCAGCCACCATGATTGGTGCCAGTACCGCCTCCTCCTCCACGGCGGACGTCTCCCACGTCTTCTCCTCAATCTATGGAACATTACTTGAGGGAAATAAAAATTTTAGTTGATGCCCTTGCTGCAATTAACTCTCCTGTGATTGATAAAGAACTACTTCAAACCACTCTTATGGGTTTGGGACCAAAATAAGAGTCAATTGTTAGAACTATTTCCCTCTTTCCTGAAAATTTTCCACGTCATGTTCTTCATCTGATACTTTTAGAGGCAGAGCAGAGGGTTCTTTTCCTTCGTCAGCAATAGACTGCTCCTACTTATCAGGCATTTGGAGTTCAGACGCGATGTGGCCGCGGCATGGGAGGCTGCGGCAGTACAGGCCGCGACAGAGGCCGTCATTACCAAGGGTACGGCCACCAGCCCACTCACGGCCACCACCCGCGCATGGCCAGCAATCCGGACATTATACATCATTGAGATCTACAAATGCATGTGCTTGGGTAATTCTATTTTGTCAACTTTAAATAGTAATGCTAAATATCTTTGTGGTACTAATGTTAACTCTGCAGGCTCTCCATCAGCTGAGGGAATTCTTGGGTGATTCCCCTACCAGTGTTGTGTCAAATCTGTTTTTATGCAGGTCATTCTACTATTCATTGTCCTTCTCAGTTTTCTCAACCATCTGCACCTGCTCTTCTCACTGATCAAGCTAATGAAGCTCTATGGTATCCAGATTCTGGTGCCTCTGCTCACATGACCCTATCTGAAGGTATTTTAAATAATAAATCTACTTATACTGGACCAACTATTATTAGTGTTGCTAATGGTGCTCATCTACCCATTAAACATGTTGGTAATATTTCCTTAAAATCCTCTGGCCGTCCTCTGTTGCTAAAATCTGTTTATCATGTGCCTAATATCAAATTTAATTTATATTCAAAAATTGTGTGTTGATAATAACTGTGTTGCTATTTTTTATAAAAATTCTTTTTTTGTTAAGGAAAAAACATCGAGGGCGGTTCTTCTTCGGGCAACAACTAATGGCAATGTCTATCCTCTCTGCCTGAGTCCACCCTCTAGTCTAGCTTTATCTTCTATCATCACCACTAGCCCTGTGTGGCATCGTAGATTGGGTCATTGTGGTGAAAATATTTTACGTATTTTACGCACTCAAAAACTTATATGTAATAGCACTAGCTTTTCTCACGATTGTACTTCATGCCGATTACGAAAGTCTCAACGATTACCTTTTTCAGATGCTAATCATACTTCTTCTGTCCCTTTACATTTAATTCATTCTGATGTGTGGTGGTCCCCAATTCTTTCAAACTTAGGTTTTAAATATTATGTATGTTTTATTGATAATTTTTCTCGTTTTACATGGATATACCCTAGGCGTGCTAAAACCGAGGTTTTTGACCATTTTAAAGTTTTTAAAGTTTTAGTTGAAAATCTTTTTACTTCTAAAGTTAAAATTTTTCAAAGTGATGGAGGGGTGAATTTGCTAATTCTAAAATGCAGCAAATAATTCTCATTGAATTTATTTACAAAAATCTTATCCCCACATTCCACAGCAAAATGGGCTTCCTGAGCTTAAACATTGTCATCTTCTTGAACTATCTAGCACTATGCTTATTGAAGCTTCTCTTTGTAGCTATTTTTGGGTTGATGCTATTTTTACAACTGCATATATGTTATTAATAGATTACCTACTCCTACTCTTTCTGGTCTTTCTCCTTACGAAAAATTATTTCACAAATCTCCTGATTATTATTTCTTACATATTTTTGGTTATGCTTGTTTTCCTAACATTTCTGCCACTTCTTCCAATAAACTTTCTCCTAGGTTTGTTCATTGTGTTTTTCTGGGTTATGCATCTGCTTACAATGGTTATCGTTGCCTCTATTCTATTTCTGACAGGATATACATCAGTCGTCATGTGTGTTTTCATGAAACCATTTTTCCCTTCACCACTTTGACCTCTTCCATGTCTGCTACATCTTCCTCCGCCAACCCTTCTCAAATTACTCTTCCCCTTTTTCCTTGGACCAGTCCGCCTCCGGCCAGCCATCACACGGCCAATCCGTCATCGGCTATATCCCAGTCCAGCCCAATCCTCACCTTACCCCTCCACCCCAACTGCTCCCAACCCATACTCAGCCCACCTTCCGTGACCAGGCCATCAATACCCATTCCAGTAGCCGATCCCAATTCACCCGTCCTACCCAGTGCCCTCATTGACCCAAGTACGCCTACCCTCACAGACCCAGCATCCGTGCATAACTCTCTGACCAAGCCCAGCCCAGTAGCCTTGACCAGCCCTCTGATCGAGACTGCTCCTGCAGCCCCGATCAACCTTATTATGACCGAGTCCAGTCCTGCACCCGTGTCCGGCCCCGTCCATTGACTGTCTTTGTTGCTAATGTCCACCTGGTGCAAACTCGGGCTAAGCCTGTTTTTCAAACCTAAGCCTGTTTTTTTATTTAAACACAGTTGTTATTTCAGCAGACCCTACTTGTTTTTAAGAGGTAAATAAACATTTAAATGGAATGAGGATATGGATGAGGAGTTTAATGCACTTATTGCTTATCATACTTGGGACTTGGTACCGTTTGATAACTCTAAGAATATTGTTGGGTCAAAGTAGATTTATAAGACAAAATTTCTTTCCGATGGGTCTATTGAGCGCCACAAAGCACGTTTAATTGCTCAGAGTTTTAATCAATAGGAAGATGTGGATTTTTCTGAGACTTTTAGTCCCGTCATTAAACCCACCACTATTCGTACTGTTCTTACTTCAGCCATTTCATTTGGGTGAGATGCGTCATTTAGATGTTAAAGATGTTTTCCTTCATTGTCATCTCACTGAAGAGGTCTATATGCGTTAGTCACGGGGTTTAATTCATCCTCAATATCCTCATCACTTGTGTCACCTACGTAAGGTTATATATATGGCCTAAAGCAAGCCTCGCGGGCATGATTTCGTAGATTTAATAGTTTCTTACTTACTCATAGATTGATAGAAGTAACTGTAGATGACAATTTTATCTATTTTTCATATATATTTTTATTTATTTTATTAATACAATATACTTTAAATATAATTTTTTTCATAAATTAGCAGAACTAGTAAATACAGTCACTTCAAACACAACTTCATAAATTTCGTCTGAATCAGCCAATTTGAGTGTTAACAAATAGGCTCTAAATTACAATAAAGGAGCACGTATATAAATGGATTGATTCCCGGCACACAATAAGAGTTACTTGTACTTTTTAAACGAACAGTTCTAAACTTGTAGTTTACAAATAAAATCGAACTCTTGTCTTTACTTTTTATAGAAATTAGTTCAAATAGGACTAAAACTTTAGCAAAAACCTAAAATAGGACTTGTTATGTTTTTATTCCAAAATAGGACCATATGAGTCCTATTGGAAACATACCTATTTTTGCATTCCATTCTTACCCTTCCATTAAATATGAATTAAAAATAGTCAAAAGCCATA